AGAGACCGTAAAGGAGGAGAGAGAAGATGAATGCAAGAAAAGGAAGTAGATAAGGACTCTTTAGTAATTTTTCCGTTTAAATTGACCACATCACTCACCCAATGCCATATCAACACCAAGCCACTTCTTGGTAACGGAGTAACAAGGATGTGGACGGACGGAAAGATGACATTTGATGAGGTCATCGTCAGCAGAAGGGCTGATTTGCGGGTTTTGTCAAGTGGAGGGGCTGATTTGCTCTACTTCTAGGTAGAGGGGCAGATGTGCCACAACAATGGACATAGAGGGGCTGAATTGCACCTTTTGCCAAAAAAAAAAGGGGAACCCGGCACCAGCCTTTGAGAACCGATGAGAAAGCTTGGTTTTGGCCTTCTTTTCTTGTTCAAAAACCAAATTTGAGCTTAGGAATTCTTTCCCCTTGCTAGAAAATCTGGATCTGCATTGCTCTGTCCGCCGGCTGCTCTTGTTGTGGGTGCGAAATTCTTCAAATTACGATAAGCCATAGCCATGTACTCCATCTCTTTAGCCTTGATTTCACTTGGGTTTACCTTAATTGCTCTTGGTTCTCCAATTTTTGGGTAGCCCGTGAGCTTTCTTCTTCCATGCCGTTAGCTTTCCCCCAACCTGCAGTCCGATTTTTGGCTGCTAAATTTTGGTATGTTGACAGCCCTCCAAGCTTGAAATTATCCATTTAATTGGTTGCCTTGTGATGTCCAAATTTGGCTGAAAATTGGGGAGGAATTTCGGTAGTTTTAGGACAAAGTTTAAGCATTAATTCAAGTGAGATTTATATGATTGAGTGTTAATTGACTGCTGTGTGATTTTTGGAGAAAATCCCGTGAATTAGCTAGTGTTTTGGCGAATTTTTGGAAGTTGGAGTTACTGTTCACGTCGTGATTACTGTTCATGTGCACTGTTCATGGCACTGTTCACAAATTACTGTTCACACACCGAGGGTCAACAATTAACGGGGATTTAAATGATTAGTTTGTAATATATGAACGAATTTGGAGATATTTGATCATGTGGAGATTTATAGAAATAGCATCGTGATTAAGGGTAGTCTTAATGATGATTTCAATGTGAATTCGTGATAGTACAGTATTAATTCTTAGATATTTGATTAGGTTCTTGATCGTTTTGTCAATTTAGCACTTAGATTGAATCTTCGGTTTGACGCGAGTGAGGTAAGTAAATTTATGGTAATGCCCGTATAGTTTTTAAAAGCATGTTTTGATTTGTTTTTGAAGTGGTGATGGGACTAAACCCGTTTTATACGAGCATGACTGATTTGAAGTGAAATTTTTATGCTTTTCATTAAATTGAGCATGCCTACCTGAAATTTAATTGATTGTCCTAATGATTTGAAAGTGATTGGTGAATTATGATTTTTTTGTTAACTTCTGCCTGTTTTGTCTCCGATGTGGTTATGTTATTGATAACCCTGCTAGTGGGGGTTAAACGCTAGCACATGTCGACATGTTACTGATAGAACTGGTTCGTTTCTGTTACCCTGCTGTGGGGATTATACACCAGCAAATACTGTAGCCTGTCAGTGGGAGGTTTATAACACTGGCCGTGACCTATAGAGGAGACGTTTATTTCGTTCCCGTACTGTATCCGTTTTTCGTAATTACACTTGTTGGCATGCTATAAGTTTAACAAGGGCACTCCATATTTTACTTACTGAGTTATCTCATAGTTTTTCCTTGTCCATCATTTCAGGAAGCGAAACCGAGGACGAGAAAACCACAGGAAGTGATGAGTTAGAAGGCTAGCCATATTGTAAATTGAGTATAGATTTAGATAAATCATAATCTTGTAAACTAGACCTTATTTGGAGATTTTATAATATCAAAGCAAATTTTAAAGATTTGATCTTCAGATTTTGATGGTATCAGATTGTGATGTGATAAGTTCCGAGCCTTGTGCATTTGTGGGACCCTCTCACGAGTGCACGGCGTCTGTCGCGCCTCGAATTTGGGTTTTGGGGCGTGACAAGTAGGTTATAAGAGAAAAATTTTTAATTTTTACTTCCATAATGCCCTATTAATCCAAACATATGTCAAAGTGGATTATGATATCCATTGGTGGTTATTTAAGTTAGTTATATTGAATTGGAATTGTTGGTTGCATATTTTTTGAAGAATTAAATTCCTTGTGGAATAAATTTGAAATTTTGTTTTAGGATTATTGTTTAGTGTAGCAACCGCTTATTGTTCGCACAAGTGGCTATGAAGCCCATTGTTTGTAATTTGCAAACTAATTTCATCGTAGGTAATAGTTAGGGCCATAAGCTATTATTAGGGCCAATCATGCAACCTCTAGGCAAACACCCAAGCCAACAACATTATTGGTTTATAGAGAAAATGGCATGGGCACAAAGACTATCGTGATGTGTGTGACATAGATCTTGTGAGGCTATCCAAGCAACATGTTGAAGTGCATGCTAGCAAGCACTAGGTGCTCATGTGTGACCTAATGCATGTTGGTCATGCAACAAATGGGGAGATGTGGTGAAGCTTGCTTAGTGAGCAAGCGAACATCTATGCTATTGTGCACCATGCACTTAAAGCCTTGGAACTGACTGGCAGTGGCTGTGCAATATATGCCTAGTAAAGGACACGGCATGGGTTGAAGACGAATAGTGCAAGTGACTCACTACTAAAAATCCATTTTTCAACAACATGGGGGCACGTCGAGGAAAGTGCATCCCATGTTGCTGAAAGTACTTCAACAACATGAACCATATTGCTAATACCTTTGTTGGAGAAGCTGTGGTCAGTAATACGTAGGGGTGGGCAAAAATCAAGAAATTGTAATTTCCCGTCGATATGTGCTGAGCTTTTGGGAATCGGTATCAGGACATGTACCGATAGGAACAATAAATCGGTATAAAAATGATACCGATTAATATTTTGGGACGGTATTCGGATTCTAACTTTAAAATACC